TGTATAATGCTTATTGAAAGCAGGTCTAAGCAAATATTAAAAATTTTATTTTCCTTGTATAAAATATAATAATTAAGAGCGAAAACGATATTTCACGACACGAAATATTTTAGAGAGATAGAGCAATTATTTTACTGTAAGCGAATTTCAACTCGATCACTGGCCACGGCATAAAAAGAAGAGAACGAAAAACTTTCTCTTGAGTTGTGTTTGCATTGGCTGGTTTTCCATTCGATTATGAAAAATATAAAAAATCGTAAAATAGTGGAATGCTTTGGTTTTCTCCTCTTTATTTCGAATTATTTGTTAAAATAAATAAGAAATTATATATTTTGACATGACAATTGTTTCGACAACACCGTGTCTTTATCGAATGTAATATTTACAAACTACCTGCTACTATATATATACCGAAAAATGACCAAAAAATCTTAATTAATGTTGTTGCGAGAATTTAAGTTCAATAAAGGAGAGGTATTTAAATCTAATTGATCGTTAAGCAATACATTTGAATGTCTCATTTTGTTAATCTCCATGGCTTCCAATAAACTTAATTTTCTACTTTTTGTGGCTGTATGTAATATAACAAAATTGTCGTCAAAAATGTGTTATTTAAATATTTTCCTATTGTGTTGTTAGTTCGGTACAGACAACAATAAACTCAGACAACAGACAACAGTAAACTCTATTTATCCGAAACCTAATACAGAACACGAACAAATTAAAACAATTACATACATAGGAGAACCTAGTGAAAAAGTTTCAAAACATTTGCCAAAATGTGGTTTAAAAATAGCTTTCATAACTAACAACACAATAGGAAAATATTTAAAAAACAATAAATCGAAATGTCCAAAATCCCAAAAATCAGGTGTCTACAGGTTGAAATGTGGATCTTGTCTTAAAATTAATGTTCAAGAAAAGCATGTTAGTTCTTATTTATTTTGATAAATGGATTTTCATCAAGTAAAAACCTCCTCAGTTCAATTATTTGTTAACTTAAATATTGAGGCTCAAACAGTATCTGGAAAATTCCCGCCTTTTGCTAGTTTTGTCATAAGCATATTATTACAATTATCAAAACACAAATACACATTTTATAAATCTAATAGAAAATCAAATAAAATATCAGACGGTGTAAACACACTTCTACTCGGTTGCTTGCGAAGCTCGTTAAGATGTGACGAGGTGACTCTGAACCGTCACAGACACTCTACTAAATGGGTGGTCCGCTGCGTTAATTACCGTTTGAAACGTCACTAAACAGTATTTCAAGGTGACGACACAACCGAAGGGTCTCGATTCTAACACAAAAATCTTCCGGAATATCGTCTTTGGCGTCACGGCTGTGTGCGTAAAACGTTTTGCCGGCAGATGGAAGGCATATTTGTAAAGAAACGGTGTTCTTTTACTTCACTTCGGTCGTCTCGAAGTTACGAGTTAGAATAAAATTTTTATGGAAGTTTGTCAAACAAGACCAGAAAGATTTCAGACGCTCGTTTTTAGATGTGCACCGTCTTCGTCCGTGCCGTTTGATGGAGAATAAAGTAAATAAAGTGCTGTTATGTTGATATGGTTCGTTCGGATTGTGAAATTTTTATTTTGTTCTGGTCGTTTGGCGGGTACAAAGTGACAACTGATTGAAATTCTCGATGGCATTGAATTCTCGATAATAAAAAACTTTATTTTGTGTTTTTTTCAAAGTTAGATTTCTGAAATTTATTTATTTTAGTTCTTTATTTTATGTATTTATTATTACTAAAGCTTACACCATTTTACAAAGGAATTAGAAAAGAATAATTGATCCTTACAAGAACTGACTATACTTACTAGGTCAAACTATTTTTATTCTATTCACAAAACTTCTGGAATCCTCCTGCATCGGTTGTTGTTGAGCCGAATTTGCTAACGTTTCGCCAATCGTCCTGTTGCCTTCTTCAGAGCTTGATTTAAACTTGCTCGCATTTTACTCTGTGCCTGCTTATATGTTGTTTGAAGGGGGCGGTGCTAAATGAGGGGCATAGACATCATCTCGGATAACTGATTCCCATATGGGTGGCAGGTAAAGACCTGAGTCGCGGTTAAGATTGTTAGGTGGCTTATAGAAGATTCTGTTGTTCTTTCTTACATTGAAAACATCACTGACCACATATCCAAAGTACTAAAGAAATATAACTTCAAAACCAGATTTACCACTTGTCCAAAAATCTCTCAAAATTCTTCGGTCCGTCAAAGACAAATTCCATTTGAAATGTTAGTAGTTTACAGCATTCCATGCATATGCGGCAAAGAATACATTGGAGAGACCGGACGAAAAATATCAACTAGGCTCAAAGAACATGAAAGAGCCTTAAGACTAAGACAAATAAACTCATCAGCAGTTGCCGAACACAATCACCAAACCGGACGTAAAATTTTATTGGATAAAACTAAAATTCTTGCATGTAATCAATTCTTCTACCAACGAAAAATTCGAGAGTCTATAGAAATGTATAAACAATCTAACAATCTTAACCGCGACTCAGGTCTTTAACTGTCACCAATATGGGAATCAGAAATCCGATGCCCCTTATTTAGCTCCGCCCCCCTCCAACAACATATAAGCAGGTACAGAGTAAACTGCGAGCCAGTTTCAGTCAAGCTCTGAATTCTAAACCTACTTATAAAACCTAAGATTCTATAGCCCCTTAGCTATTGTATCATTGATTCGATAAAGTTAGCCTACATTCAGGACCCTAAATCATTAATTTCATTCACCAACTTGAAGATAGCAGGTGCAAGATGCTATGCTATCTCCGAGAAAGGGAACTACAATTTATCAATAACTTATGGGCAATTCTATCAAATGGCTTTGAAAAATGCAAGAGATTGGCTTATATGAACTGCCACTCCAGTTTTGAACGAAATTCTCTAAAAATATACCCACTCTTCTAACCGCGTGAGCAACTAACTAAAAGGTTTTCGAGAAAATCGTTGGGCATACACGGCAAAATTATCAAAATATGTATTTGTTTTGGGCAAAATATTTGCATATCTGCAGTTTTTAGTTTGAATTGTTAGTTTTAGAAAAAAAGAATAATAATATCAAATTATGATTGAAGGAAACAGTCCTTAGACATCGAATTTTTAACGCAATAAAACTTATCAAGGTTAGAGTAGGATACAATGTGGTATATCCACTCAATGTCCGTAAATTCAAATTTTCCCAGTATTAAAAGCGAAAACTAAGTAAATTAGAAGAGAGTGTCTAAAGCACAACCCCCGGGCCGCGGACTGGATCCGGCAGTAGCAGCGCAAGAAGAGATTATTGCTCCTCAATTACTCTACACTACTGATGTGGTAACTTCGATAAGCGATTCCGTAGCAACAATTTGCTTTTTGACTTTGTGTGCATCTCGTGTGCTTACTAATTTTTTTTTAACAAACGAAAAGTTAACAAAAATCGTGTCTGGTGGTAAGAAATGAAAAGTAGATGCACAATGGTACGCCTATTTGTTTTCTGTGTAATGAATCAATTTCAATAGCAAGAGCCATTACTTAACTAAGCATCCTATGTTGCACTCACTGACATTACAAACAAGAAAAGATAATATCCAGAAACTCCTCGCCAATTTAGAAAAACAAAAGAGTTTCATAAACAAAGAACACAACATGATAATGTCATGACATCTAGTGTTACAGTTAGTTCAGAATTAGCCGTTTGCCGAAGGGGAACTTATCAAGGAGTGTATGTTACAAGTTTGCAGGGTATTGTATCCTGAAAATAAAAATGAATTTGGAAAAATTAGTTTGTCAAGACGTATAAAAATGGTGGCTAATGATATAAAAACGACATTGACTGTCCCTGGTGTTGATAAGAGTTCACTGTTACTGTTTTTAATGAAGTTCAAAAAATCACACTTGCGATGGTCAAAATTCGTTGGATTGCTCACAGATGGCGCACCTTCTATGGTCGGCTTATCGGAATTTTGAATGAAAAAATAATTAAACTTGTGTTCTAAATCCATTCAAAATGTTATGAATGTGGTAGTAACCATCTTTTTTTTATCTCGAAATGAGATTTTATGCAAATAAAAGACTACTACTACTACTACTATCTGAATGGAGTGACCAAAAATGGATATGTGACTTAAGATTTCTGGTGGACCTTATAGGCTATTTAAATGATTTACATTTGAAACTTCAAAAACAAGACAAATGCTGTCTATTAACAGTTACCATTGTTTACAATGTCGTTAAGAATTACGAACACTACTTTTAAAAGCGACCCACAAACCTATTTGCATATGGACCACAACTTGTCAAAAGTTGTCCATACCTGGTCTAAAGAAACAGAAACTGTAATATTTAAAAGCAACCACCATACGTCGCCAGCAAAATTCCTAGTAAATTATAGCTTGGTCCTAGATTAACATGATAAGTGTTAAAAGAATATGATATAGTTTCTCTCACCCTATATTAATTACTTTGACATAAGTCAGAGTGCGGCAAGGAAATATTCCATACGACTAACATAGTTGGCTCTGCCATAATTTTTCCAACGCATACGAGATGCATTGATCGCAATCGGATCGATATGTTGCCAGATCATCAATGATGGCAACAGGTTAGCGCGGTTCTACGAGTAGAACATCACCTCTGCGAGAGCAATATCGCCTGAACATGAATGGGATATAAACCTCGTCTGTTGTTGCCTTAGAGACTTTACCCGTTCTTAAACGGTATTACTCTATTTTCGTTTATGTCAAATTTGTTTACATAGTATCTGGATGAATTCTAAAGAGAACGACTATGCGGAAACACGTCACTTTCAATTTCCCGAAGGAAAACGGCATGTTTCAAGAAGCAAGAAGGTGTATGCGTGTTTAGATTCGGAACTTGTTTTCATCACGTATTCCAAATCGGAAAAATGAAAATAACATATTTTCGCAGCGAGTGTTTCTCGTTTTCGACTTTGAGCAGGCTTGCTCCAGTTTCAAAAGAAATTTCTACTCACTAACCTGTATGCGTCCTCAAATGGGCTTTGAGGTGCGAGCTCTTGCCGTAAACTTTGTGGCAACCCTCGTACGAGCACCGGTGGGTCTTCCTGCTCAACGAGCCGAATCTCATAGACGACTGAATCCGGGAAAGGGAGGTCCTTTTAATCGGCGAACCAACATCGTATTTACTCCGATTGGTAACCGTTGCTCCGGTAACTACCCTGTTTACCGCTTTGTTGACAACAGGAGGTTTGTTTTGGTTGTCGTACCGATCCGGTCTCTTCTTCGTGCGTTTCTCCGTATCCGATGGGACTTCTGGAACGGGCTCCTGCTCGATTCTGGTCAGATCGGTCAAAATTCTCGCCACCATGTACGACGAAGACTCCCTGCTTTTGTCGCTTACGTCGTCGTCGTCGTCGTCCTCAAATGCGGGTATCTTTTCGACAACTACCGCCGGACTCTGTCCGAAGTCTTTATTGGACAAGTCCAGGGGTCTGTTTATGTGTTTGCCGTGCGACATCTGCAGCAAACAGTGCGCGGCGAATTTAACTTCATCCATTTTCCGTACGAAAAGGGCCGATGAAACTTTATCACATAATGTCCCACCGTTAAACACAGAAAATAGTTTTCGACAAGCGGGGGTGACGTCGTCGTGTAATACGAGAAAGTTATAGACGTACGTCCGCAACAAGTTAACGCGGACAGGCACACTTCCCGACTGCTCTCGGGGTAACAACGCGGACGAGTATTTCATCCCCCACCATTTGTATTCCCTTCCCCATATTCCCGTATTGCTCTCTGAGCTTTCTGCTTATTTGGATTTGGCTTTTCGCGAAGAGTTTGTTATTTCCGCACCTGCAGCGATTTTTTTTAAGGAACACTCGACGTGTTTTTTTCAAAGTCGGGGGCGGTGGAGGGGGGCGGACTGGGCGGCTAATTAAAAATCGTGCCTCGTCCCGTTTTTATCGCGCGTAAATTTTTCTGTTATTTAAAAATCTCGCCGTTAAAACGGCGGTGAATTAATGATTTTTTGTTGACTCTGCCGGCGGTTTTGTCTTAAATGGAATCTTTACGTCGACTACTTGAGGGAATAATTTTTGGGCGGGGAATTTTCCTTTGAACCTCTTGATTTCGGGTCGATAATCTTGCCGTCGAAAACGCGTGATTTCAGGTTTTTCATTTAAAATATAATCATTTAGTGTTCATGAAATAAAAATGTCACTAAGGAGTAGAATTTCAAAATGAAGAGGTTCTTGGTTGACCTTAACGGGATCCTTGGGTCAATTTTTGGTCATTGCTATCCACTTACCGACAATGAAAATGGTATGCCAAAGGTGTCCCAGTGGGATACTATTAAGAAAGAATGAATCTTTGGAACCTATTTATTACTTATATATCTTATAACACTGTGATCACCACTGGTTAACAGCAAGTATTATGATAAAAATGCTATCATAAGTGGGTTTTAAGTACTCGTTAAGTGTTAAGGCCAAGATTCAGCCATCTTCGTAGTTTTGTGAAACCAGCTTTTTTCGATTTTATTTATCTCAATGTACATTTACCTCACAAATAGGTTAAATCTTGTCAAATTTTCAAAATAAAATATAGTTGAAGGTGGTCCAAATTAAAGTTTCAAAATTTGCGGTCAAAAAAATCCGGTAGTATGATTTTTTCTTTACTTTTACTGCCCTTTTATGTGCTACAAATGCTCGAAATTTTATGAAATTTTAAAATTTAGTGCACGTCTCCATAATGGATCGTTTTTAAGTGATCTATGTTTAAATTTCAAACTTTGGTACGGAGTGGAAACATGGACCCTGAGTGAGGCAATGGAACGGATGTGAAAATGTGGATTTGTGGGAGAATGCTTAGAATTTCCCGGACGGATCACATAACACACAAGAAGGTACTCCACAGAATGCAATACGAGCTCGGGATGCAATAAAAGCAGGAAGCTAGAATATCTAGGCCACATAATGAGGAATCCAGCAAAACACTGTTTACTACAAAATATAAAGGTTGAATAAAACAGAGGATTAGGAAGCAGAAGAATATCTTGACTTGTCAACCTGTGCAAATGGTATGGAGCCGCAATCCTCCAACTCTTTTGGATCGCTGTTAGCAAAGTCCATATGGTCCGACGGTCGCTAATATCCGTAACGGATAAAGCAACTAAATATGAAGAAGAATGCCTAAATTATTTGAAAGTGTAAGGAGTAGCATAATCAATTTACTTCAACACTGGCAAGCTGCGCTACAACTAAGATTTTGAACATTCAAATTCTCCGTGTCTGTGAACAGAGTGGAGTCATTCCAAAGCACCATGTCCGCGATGTCTGTTTCTCGCTTTAATCTAAAACATAGATAGTTTTGGTTAGTTCTATCCCAAGCAAGTCCGACAGCAGACTACAACCTCAACATTTTCAACAAGAATTTTCTAAGCTATATATACCAAATTATAGGAAAAAGGCACAAATGCGAAAGTGCACGGAAGAATATAAAGGAATTAGAAAAATATTATCATGACATCAATGTCGTGAATCTGAATGACCTACGAAGACACTTGTCAACTGGAAAGCTATGGCGTAACGTGCCTGAATATCTTATCAATGATCTTATATAGAAACTCAATAATTGATTGTCATAATACCCTTAATTTTTTTTCGGCTTTGACCTATTTCATGGAAAATTTCATTATCCAATCCGATCCAAAGTTCCAAATTTTTTGATGCAGTAAATCGGAGAAGTCCGCCATTTTCTGGCAACGCATTATTCCGACAAGGGTCCGGTATGGCCACCGTGGCCCGTTCCATTAAACGAAACCAAATTTACCAGCGCTACTGATTATATCCATTGAATAGCGGAGGTTTGATACAAAGCGTAAACGTAATTATCAGAATTAACTACGGGTCGGTTTGACAACAGTCGCACTGAATAGGTAGGCCATAAACAAAGGTGGATGACAGCAACCCGTAATACAATTTAAATGTTATAATTAGGTCCGCCCGGGCGAGCATTAAAAGTTTCCCCCGTGGGATCGCATTTCGTCGGGATTTTTTTTTTCGCTTATTTAGCATCCAATCCGGAAAATTTGGTTCCTTTCTGGAAAGTTTGCGTGCTGATCTCGCGAAAAGTTTAAAAATATTTTTGTCCGTTAAGTCTCCCCCGAGATTCCGGGCCCTTAAGCAAAGTTATCCGAAGGCGCAAATCGCAGATGGTATTTAACCAACTTTCTTCTCCTCCTAAAACACTCTCGGTTTCATTCTGATTTTTGTTTTTTACCTGGTCGCTCCCAATCAAAGTAAGCAATTCTCCTTGATACTTATAAAGGTTAAATAAGCACCTTTAACTTAATTTAAACTTGTAAAAATATTGCTAATTTTGGTTTTTTACTCCAAAAAATTGTTCAAAATCCGCCAGGCGCATCAATAAGCAAATAACAGATTTTTTTAAAAAAATGTAGCAAAAGTACTACTACTACTAGAGAATTCTATTTAAGCAGTTTTCAGAAATAATCTTCTTATTTAAGAAGAAGTATTCTCATCATAATGATTGAATAATAATATTGTGATGTCATGTCCATCTGTTATTTCTGAGGTCCAATATAACACCATCAAAAAATTATGATAGGATCAGCAACCAGTTTCATTGGTGTACTTTACAGGGTTAAACTTTGGAATATTGATTATTGATAACAATTTCCTCAAATTATAGAGACCACCAAAAAATGTTTTAATTTTATTTTGTGGTAATTGTGGTTTTATGCTCCTCCACTTCCTTTATTTAAAAATAAGAAAGATTTCGAAAATAGGATCACTCTCTTGATTCTGGTTTTAGAAAAACCACGGTCGTAAAGGAAAATTTGTATAATTGCAATAAGTTATCAAAACTGTTCATTTATGTGTTGTCTATTTTGTACTAATTTGCCCCATATATATGATGCCGTTTACTTTTTAAACAATTCGATTTAATAAAATTTAAACAACAAATTAAAAATCTTAAAAGCAATGTGTTTTATTATGTTGTTTTTAGATATATTTTTCACAAAATAACGAAACTTAAGCTTAAAACATTTGTCGAAAATAAAAATCTATTGCTCACCCAACAGCACACAATGCCTTTATTTAGTATTAGTATTAATAAAAATAAAGTAACATTTTTCGGATCAGCGATACAAAGACACGTGAAAAAGAATAGTTTCAGAATAAGAATAACTTGTGAGTTTTTATATACCTGATATTGACATTAACATAATGGCAAATTTTTGCTAATTAGAATTTTGCTATCATCAATCGAAGTGATGTAAAATGGAGCGTTTACAATTTTAATTCGAAGAGTTGTTTCTTCAGTACCTTAATCGGAGTCGGAATCGAACTGTCCTATTTTTTTTATAATTGCATACTTCATATCCGTTTTAATTTCATTTATAACATTTTGGAGAATACGGCCCTGTAATGATCTTTTAATATTGTTTTCCGTCATACGTTTACTAAAATTATTGTTTGGATATTTTAAACCTAGGGCTTGCTTTAATCTTGTGTGAATTTAAGTTAAGTTTTTAATTGATTCTCTAAATAATAATAACATCTAGAATAGAACTAGTAAACCTAGAATATTATACTGTGTGAAAATTTGTGAATATAATTCATAATAAATAAATAACCATAACACGCCCCATTACTAAAAAAATTAATTAAATTAACACAGAAAGCATCTGAAAGGGATACAAATATCAAGAAAATATGGCCAATCGTCAATTTTTCCCTCGTAGCCCAGAAACTACATACGTTTTTCAGGATCCGATTGTACCATTTTTCAAATCCCAGCACAATTGTAATTGCAAGGCAATATTCAGTAAAACTATAAATCCAGTAAATTAGAAATAGAATAATCTTATATCTAAACTTATCTAAATAATATAGCATGCAGTCCGCCATTAATATTTTTAATATAAAGAGTAAATATAAATGTAAACAGTAAGTATAAAATGTAAATGTACTTTTAGACGCAGGTAGGAACAGAATTTTGTATAGTAAACAACAGCTTGTTCCATTATATTATATATATATATATATATATATATATATATATATATATATATATATATATATATATATATATATATATATATATATATATATATATATATATATATATATGTATATATGATGACACTATATTCCGGGATATCATCCGTTCGCTCGTTGAACTCCGACTGGAATCCTGCAAATCTTGCATCCGACTGGAATCCTGCAGACGTTTCGCCAAAATCTCACTTGGCATCTTCAATGCTCGCGCTCCGAAAACACTTCGAACACATATATGTATATATATATATATATATATAGGTTCTCTCAGGATGGACAAGGACGACATTATGGCAAGTTTCGATGTCAAATCCCTCTACCCGAGTATTCCAGTAGAAGAGGCACTCTTGCTTATAGAAGAAAACGAAGATCTTCCGCCATACATAATGGATCTGTCAAGACATTGCCTGAAAAACGCTTACTTTATGCACAACGGGAAAATTTACCGACAAATAGATGGAGCAGCAATGGGATCATCTCTCTCACCTGTGATTGCCAACCTCTTCATGATTTACTTCGAAAAGAAAGCAATAGAGAAGGCAAATCTGAAGCCAAAACTATGGACAAGATACGTTGATTTACAATAGAACTTGAAGAGGATAACAGTCTGCCCTTTT